ATCAAAATCTGCCATAAGCACAGGAGAGCCAACACAGGGGCCAAGATCCCAGCGAAGACCCATGGAGCAGAAGCCAGACCGAAGAGAAGAGCTACAAACTGGAAATGCAGCTCCCCCACAGTGAACAGAAGGAACCTCTGATGGTAATGACAAATGGGGATGTGAAGATCCTTAATGTTGATCTAAGCAGGAGGTCCCCTTGGTGCGAGATGGCTAGACCGAGAGCACCTTCAAGGAGTCAAGGGACTTTAAGTCCAGAATCCGATGAACCCCGTCCTTTTGAAAAAAGAAGTTGGAATAAAACCCCCTGAATTGTTCTGAGGATGGAACCGGAGCTATGACACCCTTATCCAAGAGTCCCTGAATCGAAGAATGCAGGTCGGCTAGCGGCTGTAGAGTCAGATGGAGGTTGGAAGAAAATAAATTATGCAGCTGCAAGAACTGAAATTCTATCTTGTAACCGGAAAAAACACTTTTAAGACCCACCTGTCCAAAATGTGCGCGAACCATCGATCCGAAAGAAAGAAGGAGCCTCCACACCTTGAGGTGGGAGTGCATCATCATTTGGAAGTGAGCTTCTCTGCAAGGATTCTGCCAAGTAAGTTTTTGTTGGTGAGGGAAGCAGGTTTGGTGGTTCTGTCCTTGGAAGAGGAACTCTGACCATGAAAAAGACGCTTGTAAGCTGAAATAGATGAGAGCCCTTAAGCTTCTGGGCCTAAAGGAGGAAGGTACTCTTGCGCGCCCCCCCCCATGATATTCTGAATGAGATCATCCAAGGAACAATGAAACGCTTTTGCAAACTCCAAACAGGTTTTCATATGTTTTACACTGAGGAGAGGCCTCTGTGTGGCCACTCTGCCATAAAGCCCATAAAGTGGGAGGCTGCAGAGATGTTGTCCTTCTGGAACTTCGTCCGTTTCCCCACAGGATCTCTAGAGCTTAGATTGAGCATCGGGTTCTTGGTCACCTCTCTCACCATTCTCCCCCGATTGCTTAGTTTGCTGGGGAACCAGCTCTTGGAAGGGTTCTGGTTATTCCAAACCACTGTGGTCTTGGGAACCTTCAGTGCAGCAGAAATTTTTCTGTAGCCTTCCCCAGATCTATGCCTTGCAATAATCCCATCTCTGAACTCTGTAGGAAGTTCATTTGACAGTATACATTGCCAGCTGTGAGGCCTTTCCAAATCATGTCTAATTTAATTTACCACAGGTGGACTCCAATCAAGTACGGAGTGTAGATTAATGAGAAAAAAATAAACTTAACACTGTATCATGCTGCAACTTATCAAAAATGAAAAAAGTGAAGGGCATCTGAATACTTTATGAATGCACTGTAGCTAACAATTTTTACTGCTGCATAGCACAGAAGCTGCATTAAAGAAGGAAAGTGATGGAGATAAATTTACCTGGCCAAAAAAGGTTGAAAAACTACATATCAGTCTCTCAGAGTAAAAATATGACTGCGCTGTTGGAATCCTTTATTATTCTTCTCACTAGCAACTGATCTCATTTGTAAGTATGAGGTGGTTATGGATCCTATGTGGATTTCTATAATGAGTTGCATATATCTTTAAGTGGTAAATATCTCAGCGTCCAATCATAAAGATACAGTGCAAAGTGAACCAACTGAACCCCAAATTATGCAGTTCCACCATATACAACAATGTGCAATGTGGTCACCAAGAAATCCCTTCCCCCCAGGAAGTCCGACAAGTAGTAGATATCTCAGCGTCCAATCAAATGTAAAGTCCTCAATCAGTAACCCAACGTGACTTCTTAATTATCCAAAACTTGTATATTCTAAATTAATAAATCTTGAAAACTGTGACCTCCTCTTCCTCTTTAATCCTCAAAGAAAATATATAAATCACACATAGTGCATTATCTTTGCCACACAGTGAAAAATAAACCACAAACCACTCACATTAAAGTGCTCAAAACCACCAAGTGTCAATGTATGTCTTGTGTCTGTAATTCCTAGATTGCTCATTCAAATTCCCAAGACTTGAATGCTTCCTCTAAAATTCTTCCTCATGGACAACCATTTCCTCCAAGAGACTGAAATGCATATTGTGTGATGTTATACATATCTTCAAAACGTGCCACACAGTGCTCCCTTGTTACCACTGACCACCAATCTCTTGAATCATAGATACTCAATGACCATACATTCCATGCACCTTACCCAACTGCAAAAGAAACAGGCTGTAAACAATTGGAGTCCTCTTCAACCAGTATCAGTCTGATCTCTCCCGTCACAATATATAAATCAAAGAGAACAGGCAGTCATCGTGTAAAATATCAAGGTATTAAGAATTTATTAAATGAAAAAGCGCTTACAATTGTAGTATGTATATCAGTGTTGGTACAAATTCAAAGGACCGGACCTCTTCCAAAATGCCCACCACACAACTTCCGGCTTTGCGTCTGACAACACTGACGCATTTTATCAGAAAGTGAGTGGTTTGTAGTTTATTTTTCACTGTGTGGCAAAGATAATGCACTATGTGCGATTTATATATTTTCCTTGAGGATTAAAGAGGAAGAGGAGGTCACCGTTTTCAAAGTCACGTGGCGGTACTGATCGAGGACTTTACATTTGATTGGATGCTGAGATATTTACTATTTGTTGGACTTCCTGGGGGGGGGGGGGATTCTTGGCGACCAGGGGTTTTGCACATTATTGTATATGGTGGAACTGCATAATTTGGGGTTCAGTTGGTTCATTTTGCACTGTATCATTAAGTGCCCACACAATTTTTTAACTTTTTTTGCAGAGCACCCTGATGACCTGAAATTGTGGCCTACTGTACGAGTCTACCTAAAGCTGGGTACACACGGATCAAAATTCGAGCTGTTCAGCAGAGACTGACCAAATTTCATTCTTTGTGGAGTTTTCTCTGCTTGACAGAAGCCGATTGTTAAATCTGTTGAATGGATTTGCTGGCAAATTTTCATTTGATCTGCAGTTAATCAGTAAATTCTGACAGGGGGCAGTGTTCACTGACAAATTACAATGTGCAGAGGGCTTCATTGGGAAGGAAAAAAAAAAACACACAACAGGGCCAATTTTTCATAACATACAAATGGGAGAAAACCAGGGTTGTGTAAAAAAATATATATATATATATATATATATATATATATATATATATATATATATATATATATATATATACACACACACACACACACACACACACACACACAGTGGGGATCGTAGGTTTGGGCACCCCAGCTAAAAATTTGTATTAATGTGCATAAAGAAGCCAAGGAAAGATGGAAAAATCTCCAAAAGGCATCAAATTACAGATTAGACATTCTTATAATATGTCAACAAAAGTTAGATTTTATTTGCATCATTTACACTTTCAAAATAACAGAAAACAAAAAAATGGCATCTGCAAAAGTTTGGGCACCCTGCAGAATTTATAGCATGCACTGCCCCCTTTGCCAAGCTGAGACCTGCCAGTGTCATGGATTGTTCTCAATCATCATCTGGGAAGACCAGGTGATGTCAATCTCAAAGGTTTTAAATGCCCAGACTCATCTGACCTTGCCCCAACAATCAGCACCATGGGTTCTTTTAAGCAGTTGTCTAGAAAACTGAAACTGAAAATAGTTGACGCTCACAAAGCTGGAGAAGGCTATAAGAGGATAGCAAAGCGTTTTCAGATGTCAATATCCTCTGTTCGGAATGTAATTAAGAAATGGCAGTCATCAGGAACAGTGGAAGTTAAAGCAAGATCTGGAAGACCAAGAAAAATATCAGACAGAACAGCTCGCAGGATTGTGAGAAAAAACAATTCAAAACCCACGTTTGACTGCACGATCCCTCCAGAAAGATCTGGCAGACACTGGAGTTGTGGTACACTATTCCACTATAAAGAGATACTTGTACAAATATGGTCTTCATGGAAGAGTCATCAGAAGAAAACCTCTTCTACGTCCTCACCACAAAAATCATCGTTTGAACTTTGCAAATGAACATATAGACAAGCCTGATGCATTTTGGAAACAAGTTCTGTGGACCGATGAGGTTAAAATTGAACTTTTTGGCCGGAATGAGCAAAGGTACGTTTGGAGAAGGGGCACAGAATTTAATGAAAAGTCCAACTGTTAAGCATGGGGTTGGATCAATCATGCTTTGGGGTTGTGTTGCAGCCAGTGGCACAGGGAACATCTCATGAGTAGAAGGAAAAATGGATTCAATAAAATTTCAGCAAATTTTGGATGGTAACTCTGTGAAAAAGCTGAAGTTAAAGAGAGGATGGCTTCTACAAATGGATAATGATCCTAAACACACCTCGAAATCCACGGGGGATTACATCAAGAGGCGTAAACTGAAGGTTTTGCCATGGCCTTCACAATCTCCTGACCTCAACATAATTGAAAATCTATGGATAGACCTTAAAAGAGCAGTGCGTGACAGACAGCCCAGAAATCTCAAAGAACTGGAAGACTTTTGTAAGGAAGAATGGGCAAAGATACCTCAAACAAGAATTGAAAGACTCTTGGCTGGCTACAAAAAGCGTTTACAAGCTGTGATACTTGCCAAAGGGGGCAGTACAAGATATTAACTCTGCAGGGTGCCCAAACTTTTGCAGACGCCATTTGTTTGTTTTCTGTTATTTTGAAAGTGTAAATGATGGAAATAAAATCTAACTTTTGTTGACATATTATAAGAATGTCTAATCTGTAATTTGATGCCTTTTGGAGATTTTTCCATCTTTCCTTGGCTTCTTTATGCACATTAATACAAATTTTTAGCTGGGGTGCCCAAACTTTCGATCCCCACTGTATATATAATATTTTTCTTTTTTCAAGCTTAAGTGGTCTTGAAATTAAGCGCTGGTTTTCTGACAAAGAGGTTAGCTGCAAATATCAGTTTCTAATGGTTAGGTTCAGGCATCAAAATGTTGTGATTGATGTGGTTAGAATGAGTGAATACATTGCTATGATGCTATTCGCTTTGTTGTTTGTTAATGTCCTGCTGTTTACCTGTGGTTCAAAGCCCATGTCAAACATTCGGTCTGCTTCATCAAGAACAACATAAGTACCCCGTCGCAAATTGGTTACTCGACCTGTATATTGGGAAAATCACAAAGAAAGATAAGGGAAGGATTGTTAAAAATTCATAAAGTGACTGTGAAAAGATGTTTCAAATAATTTAGTAAAACAAAGTGTTTAAACCTAGCATAACAAACTTCACTTTGCTAGGAAAGTCTCATATCATTGTATATTAAGCCCTCTGATATCTGGCTGAGTTGTGCCTACTCTTGCGTACCATCTCATGGCTACGAGGACCTGCAAAATTCAGCCCTCTCCAAGCACACATCATAAAACTAAGACTGAGGTGGAGCCTGGAGCCACGTTAGGCATTTTATGACAGCAGTCACCTAGGAAAGAACATATTAGAGATTACAGCGCATGTGTGGAAGGCAGAAAGCTCACACTGTGTCCCAGATTCAGCAAACACACTTTGCCCACTGGTTGCCCTATGGAACTGATTGTACAATTTTCATATGTAGTAGGAAGTCAATTCAGGTGGAAATTAAAAGCCCCTAACATTTAATCCTTCATAATTAAAGATCCGTGCACACTGGCTTAAAAGAATGCCAGTGTTCTTGGAAGAATAAAAAAACACTAATTTTGAGCATTATTTTGTACTAGCGTTTAGCTTTTTTTTCTGCCAGAAAAACACTCAAAAACGCAAAACAGAAGGGCTTTTTTCAGTCTCTAAATTCTGAGCCTAAAACACACCTCTAGACTATTTAATGTGCATAGACACATAGGATAACATTACTTGCTTCTACAGGCAAAATGCTAAACTCCTCTAGGAGCAATGTTTTAAGCCAGTGTGCATGGAGCCTAAAGGTGAGACCAGCCAAAGATACATGCTTGGGTAAATGATTGCAAGTGCAATTATCTGAAACGCTTAAAACTCATAAGGAAACCTGGCATAAAAAAACCTCACTTGAGATCTTGGCTCCAGTTTCTTGCCACATCTGCCACCTTGCACCAGCTAGAATTCTCTCCTGGAAATTAGGATGATCCAAGTACAGTACTGCACATTACAGTGGATTGCACTATAATCTTGGTGGTGAGAGATGATATTTCCCCTCAAGAATCCCTGTGAGTTTTAAGATTCATGATCCTGCTAGCATTCACCCAAAATTGAATAATTCAATAAAAAGAGATCCTTAAAAAAAGTAAACTTAATTCATAGTCTGCTTTTCTTGTATACTGCAACCTCATATTTTGATTGTTACTAAAAGTCAGGGTGTTTTAAAACTAAGTTTAGCAAAGCTTATTTTTTCATAGCTTCCCTATGCTCAGCATGAAAATCTGTGCCTTTCCGGAAGCTGCAGCTAAAGACTGCTGAACTCTGTGTAACAGCAGTGATTTCTCCAGTGTCAGCTTTCAGCACGGAGTTCGAGTATTCCTGAGCTGTAGATGTGACAAAGCAGGGAGTGTGCCAGGCCGCTTTAAAAAGACTGCTGCTTTCAGTGGACAGTGAATTGAGCTGAAGTTCCTGGACAGACAAAGACCTCTCTGTTTGGGATAGCATGCAAAACTAAATATATTTGAAAAACTTAGGCCTCACACACACAGGATGTTTTCTTTAATGCTCCTAGAAGCCTTCCACCTGGCAGCAGCATTTTGAAAAAAAAAAAGACTACTTTTGTAAAAGTGTGTAACATGTTTAGCGGAGTTTCCCCACGTCAAGTGTTTGGGCATTAATTCATTTCACTAGAGGGAATACATAATTTATTCTGGCGATTAAAATGAATTATTGCACAAACTCTTAAAGCACGTTTAAACTCTTCTACATGCGTCAAGCTTATTTTTGCCAAAACTCCGCTGCTCATGGATGCACTAGCAGTGTGTTTTTATTTCTGCCTCTAAAATTTTATGTATGCATGGACACATAAGGCTAACATGCTGGAGAGTTACAGAGATAGGAAGGAAAAAAAAAAAAAAACAAGAAAAACAAAAACCGCCAGATGTCCCTAGGAACAGCTGTAAAAGCATCAAGTGTGCATAAGGAATCACTTTAAAGCACCCTGACTTTATCAGTATTAATTTTCCTTGAACTAAAATTAGACTTAGTAAAATGAACAAACACAACTACAATGTTTTGTGAAGAATAAATTCTGGATCTTGACATGCCTGAAATAACAGTAGCAATGGTATTAAAACTCAGATCCAGTTTCTGGAACACAGTACAGTATAAGAAAACATGCCTCAAAAAAGGGTAATCAGTCACACTGACAACACACAGAAACCTTTGAAATTATATCTGGCTTTTGTACTGTGGCAATATAAAATGTTTACATATTTTTGGACATACCATATTGTTTACAATTCAACTACTCAACCTGGGCTGTAGCCTCATTCATGGTTCAGCAAACCTTAGCCTCAGCATGACTTGCTGTAAGAACAGGCCAACTCTACCAGATGTTGGTGCCCAAGCCAGGAGCAAAAGAATTATGTGCATTATGTTTTTTTTTTTTCTTTTTATCCAGCTTGCCACATTCAAATAAATAATGAAATATAGCATTTACAAGGAGAATGAATACATGATGTTGTTCATACCATATTAACATACTACATTAATATGCTTTTTAGTTTTCATGTGGAAAAATAGCATATCACCTTATAATAAACTTCAACCTTAAATGCCTTACCATATCTAAAACAATCTTTCGATTTTTTAAAACTGCATCCTCACAAAATGGCAGAATAAACCTACCTCAGAAGAGAAGTCTTGGAAATCCAGTTCTATATATCTTGCACGGATATATTTTTTCCCACAGAAGTTAAACAATGTAACAGTTTAGTAAGTTTTTTCATGGTACAAAAGACTGATAAAAATAGACAAGTTCAGCATGCAAAACAAACAGATATAAAAGCCAGAAAACCTCAATGTTTAATTGTAATAGCAAGGATTTTTTATTTTTTTTGTTAGCCACTGTGAGTTCTATAGCTGTTCCAGAAAATATTGTAAAGTGTAAAACTCCCCAATATGACACCAACTGCATGCAGAGCTAATTTAGGTCTCAGTGCTCTACAATATTGCACATGGCAGGGTTTATTGGGGTGCGCAGCTTAGAACATATGTTTGTCCTAAAGTGTTTGCTCTTCTTTGTAATTTTCAGACATAAGCAAAAACAATCCTAGGCTGCTTCTAATTCTTGAGAGATCTCTGATCTAACAGCATCAGGTTCTGTAGTTGTGTTAACTTTATTTTTAATTTTCTATAAGGGGTATCAAACAATTGCTTTATTAAATTGTTTTACAATTCTACACAATTTGTTGTGTTTTGAATGTGGCATAACATTTTGGGATCTCTGCTCTGCATTAAAACTATTTTGGTAAAAAAAAAAAAAAAAGGATGAACCTATTCAGTCTTGCAAATCTTATTTCAGGTGTGTTCAACCAAAATGTAATAATACGAAAAGTTGCCAATTCGTCAAAATAGATAATACTAAATTCTTATGCCTTTCTTTCCTACAAGCTGAGACACTGGACTAAATCCACTGGGAATTAATCAAGAACTGAAGAAAAATTGTGGTAAATATAGTCTGTGAAGCTGCCAGAATTTTCCAGTTCAATTCAATGATAGCTAAAAAAATGTAATCTAAATGAATAAGCCATAATAAAAAAAGTCTGTCCTTTTTAACAAAACACACATTTTAAATTGCCCTATAGTTAATGAACAAATGGTTTAAACAGAAAAAAGCACTGATTGAAAAGGAAAAAAAAAATGCAGTGCCAGTGAATATAACAAAAACATACAAAAAAAAAAAAAAAAACCCAAATAGAGCGTATTCAATGTGCCAAACATGAAGTCTCTCTTAAATCAACTTCCACATATAGCCAGATAAAAAGAGATCTTGCACCATCCAGCAGTTCTTGTAGTGTAACAAAAACACTGAATGCCACCACATCAAATGCATACTCACCAGACCATAAATTATAACGCCCCTTTTACACGTTCATTTCCTCAGTTCAGTCACGTTTTTTCAAGAAAAAACGGAGCAGTTTACATCAGGTTTACATTCGTTTTTTACATCCACTAGCTGGAGTCCTTAACCACTTTTTCTGTTTTGTTTTTTTTTTTTGTTTTTTTACACAGGCGTCCCAACGCATGCATTTATTGTATGTATGACTGCATATATAGGGGTGAGGAGGCTCAATTATTTTTTTATCTTAAAACAAATGATTTTATTGCTATCATATAGGGGACCAATAGCCACCTATGTGTTAGAATATAAGTGACAGGTCCTCTTTGTGAAGGTGGGTGGGTGGGGGGGGGGGGGCAATGCATGCAAGGAAAGGGGCAGGAGAGGAGAAGAGCAGTGTATACAGTAAGGGGGCAGTGTGTACAGAGAGGCTTCTTTACTTCATAAAGCCGGAGAAGGAGCGGTCATTCGGCCATGCTGCTAAAGTAAACAAAGGGTGGGTTGAACCGGTGACATCACCTGTGACCATACCCTTTGTGTACTTCAGTGGTGGGGCTGAACGGCAGTTCCTTCTCCAGTGCGATAAAGTAAAAGGAGGGGAAAAAAAAAAAAAAAAGCCAGCAATCATAATTAAAGCCAGCAAAGATAGTCAGTGCCAGCAAGCGAGGGAGCCTGTCTGTACACACTGCCTCCTGATTGTATACGACTGCTGTTCTCGGTTAGGACGCCGGGGGGTACCTTCTCCTAACAACCAATGCATAAACGGATGCAAAAACGGACCATTTGTCATACGTTTATCCTCAGTTTTTTTTTTTACATAACAAAAAAATGGGGCTTTGATCCATTAAAAAAAACAAAACAATAAAAACAAACAGATGCGGATATAAATGGATCATCAATTGGCCCACAGGCATGCATTGCTGTCCGTTTTTAATCTGGCAACGAATGGATGAAAAACAGACATACAGAATGCCAGTATGAAAGAGGCCTTACAGGTACAAAAGACAGTATGTTTCTCAGGCACAAATCCTCCCCAGGTGTATCCACTTCCACCCTAGAGTCACTCAGCAGCAAAAGAGCCATATAGATACTCACAGTCCAGCATTAATAACCAC